GGGCCGGAGGTGGCGAGGCGCTCCCCGAGCAGGGAGTGCCCCCAGCCCCAGCCTGCCCCGCACACAGCACCCAGCACCCAGCGTCTGCCCACTCGGCTCCGAAGACCCGGACACTGGCCCGGGCTGCAGTGGAATGGGGGGGGTCGAGACCGGCCGGGGCGCTGCCACAGGGTCTCCGTGGAGGTCACTCAGCGTCACCCCAGGAGGGGCCGCCAGCCTAGGGCGAGGCGCCAACAAGGGTTTCGAACGGGCTCAGACATTCGCTTCCCGGGCTGGATCGGGGCGCAACCTGACTTTGGGGGCCGCTCCCGAAGGGTGCAGGGGTCTGCTCACCCAGAAGATTCCCTAACGCTCCAGCATCTTGCTTGCTGCTGCTGTCCCGCCAGCGCTGCCAGCTGAGGCCTGTGATCCCGACCTGGGCTCTGGCCAGCCCCAAGTGGACCGCGTCTGTCATGCGGGGGGCTCAGGCCCGGGGTGCTTCTGGGCGGAGGCCGCACGCCAGGTCCAAGCAGCAGAAGCCCTGAGCCCACCTCAGCATGGTAGGGACGCCCCGCCTTGAGGTGGAGGCTGGGGTCACGGGCCCCCGCAGCCCCCAGCCCGCCAGTCTGTGCCCCCGTCCGTCTCCAGGCCCCCAGGGCCCCACAGGGAGTGGGGTCTCGGCGAAGGCCGTTCTTACCAAACAGGTCCCCAAACCAAAGGCGAAGCAGCCCCTCATAGAGTAAAGTGGCATGGGGGCGCGACACTGGCACCGGAGGAGCCCAGACATGCCCAGCACCTGCGCTGCTCAACACCCGCAGGTTTAAGACGGCTTCTGGTTTCACAGAACGCCCCAGGGGCGACAAGGCTGCCACCTCGGTGTTGACCCAGCGGGGAAAACGTGCTGACCGCTTTTGAAAGCAGCGGCAGGCGGGACGGGGCCCGGCGCAGTCCTGAGGCCGGGCGGCTGCTCCCTGCGGGGCGACCCGGGCCCCGCCCCTCCCGAGTCACCCTCTCGGGCCCAGCGGCTCCCCTGCAGGCTGGTCAGGGCTCCCGGTGCCCCGAGTGACCGGCCACCCCTCCCTCTCCTGCGGGAGAAACTTGATGTGTGACGCTCCGACGAGGCAGGCGCCGGTGGGCAGCGGCGGGGTCCTGGCGGGCGGCGGGGCCTAGCCCGAGGCTCCCAGACCCCTGCGTGCCTGCAGAGCCCCGGGGACCCTCTGGAGCAGCAGAGCGCCACAGCCCTCATTTCGCTTCCTGCTGAAGGGTGAGGGTGCCGGTCACCCCCAGCCTCGACCTCCCCGGGGCAGTGGCGCTGCCCCAGACAGGTGGGGCCGGCACATCCCACCGGCGCCCTCCTTGGCTGCCTTTCTGTTTGCTGGAAGGACAACACAAGCCGGGGGCTCGGAAGGGTGCCCTCGTGGGGGGAGAGGGGGGCGGGGGGCATGGACCGAGACTGCGTCTGAGGCCTCACATGGCCTCACGTGCTCCTAGAGGCTGTGTCCAGGCCCACGGCTCCCAGACCGAGGGGCCAGAACATTCTGAGCACAAGGGGGCAGGGCTGGCAGCGGTGAGCAGAGGTCTGGCGGGACTTGAGGCGCACGGGGCGCAGGATACTGGGTGCGGCCGCTGAAAAGGGCAGCCCCCCCACAGCGAGGGGGCAGGGCCTCCGGCCACCGGGCGCCTCTCAGCGAGCCGTGATCTCACGGGGCAGGACAGAGCAGGAGTGTCGGGGCAGCCCCGGCGGAGGTGGGGGTGGGCCCTGGGGGCTGACTCGGGGCAGAGGGTCCGCCGCGTCCGCCCAGGCTCGGCAAGGGCACTTCAGGGCGGCGCGTGCTGGAGGCTGGCATCCGTGTGGCACCAGCCCCCGGGCACGGGCAGAGGGCACTGGGCTAGCATGGGCATCACCGGGGTGCCCTCTGGCCTCAGCCCTGGCAACGTATGTTCTTCATCAAGGCTCCAGTCTCCTGTGCGTGGCCACGCAACACGTGGCTTGGAAGCCAGGCCCCTGTATTCAGACATGAGTTGAGGAGTCCGTCTGGCCCAGCTGGACGGCGAAACCGGGCCTGCCGGGCCTGGGCCAGTTTCCCTCAGGACCGTGTTTGCCCCAGTGGGTGGGGAAGTCCCCGCGGACGCCGGGATGACCCCACACGTGTGGCTGCCAGGGCCAGGGCGGTGGCCGCCCGACACGGGCTGGGTCTGAGCGGGCCCCATCGGGCTGGACCAAACCTCGGGGTAGAGGCTGCTGCCCCGTCCTGGGCCTCCCGAAAGGCCCCTGCTGGGGTGCATGCTCGGGGGCGAGCTGGTGGGGGCTGCCCACACCTGCAAGCACGCGCGCCCACCTGCCTGTCGGGGCAACCCCGGGGCACACGCCCACCGGGAAGCCGCACGCGTCTGCAGGACTCGCATCCTGCACTCCCCCTCCAGGGGCGCACTCCCGGGGCCCACGCCGGGGACCTGGCACGGGGCCCCTTGCCCTCGGCCGCGGGAGGAAGGCAGCCAGGTCTGCGCTACGTCCCGATGACCCGGGGTGCCCGTCCTGGGTGGCCCCAGGCACGCGCCTCCCCAGCGGCGCTTCCTCGGTCCGCGGCAATTTTAAGTCACGACAGAGCAGGTCGTGTAAATTCTGCAGTGGCGGCCTCTCCTGCGGCTACTCTGACTTCGCACAGCGCGGAACCCGGTCCCGCCCCGCGGCCCTCGGGTCCTGGTCCTGGCACCTCGGGCGGCAAAGGGCCGCCCGACACTGCAGTGCAGCGGGTGAGCGGCCTGTCGCCTGTGTGTGGACAGAAAACCCTTGGCACCTACAGCCGTCTTTCACCTGCTGCCCAACCCGGGTCCTGCAGCTGAGCTGGAAGGGCCGGGAGGGGCCCCGTTCTGAGCAGCAATCAGAAGTCCCCGAGACTTGGGGGCGGGGCCTCCGGGCAGTCAGGCCCGGAGAGGCTAAGTGGAGAAGTCACCTGGGCAAGGCCACATTATAAACACGTGGCAACAGGGCACGCACACGCATCCCCAGGACGTCCTACGAGGAGCCGTCCCTCTGTGGGAGAGGGCCTTGCTCTGGTCCGGCGTCCTCCCTGGGGGTCGCTGCAGCGGCGTCGCCTAAGACCTGATTTATCCTCTGCCTGCGTTTGGCGTCTACGCTGAGGGCGGCAGCCGGCCGGGCGGGCACCCAGGCGCGTGCTCCTCGGGACAGGCGTGGCGCCTGCTGGTCTGGTCAACTCACAGCCTGCGCGGGGTGAAGCACACGCAGCACCAGGGAGCGGGCCGGGGGGCCGCCCGGCGCCCGCACCCGCCGTCCTGGGCCCCGCCGCCGAGCTGAAGTAGGATCAGCGACGGCCACGAGACGCGACCCCCACGCCCGCCTGGAGCTGCTTCCTTCCCCACCCGCTTCATTTTTTTATGTGAACGAAGAGCAGACTTACAGGACGGAAGGTTGAAGCTGTCGGGGGAGGCGGCTGGGAGGCGCCGCGGCCCCCCAGTCCCGCTCATCCCCCGTGGCGGCCACCCCCTGCCCCGGCCCCGGGCACCGCCCACCACCAGGCCTCTGGCGTGGGCCTGGGCAGCAGGTTGGACACCACCCGAGGCCCCAGGCCCCGGAGCACAGGGAGCCACCAGCCTGCCCGC